CATGGAATGAAACATATCCAGTTAAACTGGATATTTCGCAAAAAATATCCAGTATAGCACTGTTCATCCACTCTGACACAAGCGATATTATCAAAGCAATGCACACGAGGAAGATGAGCTGGGCTGGTCATGTGGCAAGACTGGAGGACAAGTGAATGGATGAAGTGGGCTCATGATGAAGATCATGCAATGTTAAACAAACACCCAGAAGGCTCCAGGAGGATAACAAGCCGTTAGCAGCTTTACTGATCGAGGAATACAGTAATGAAACATCAGCTAACAATGGTATAAAAATAAGGTAGTACTGCTCCATCTTCTTCACACTTGTTAGTTTTAACGTTTCCCTCCCCCCCTTCCCCCTGTTGCTCCTCCCCGCTTCCCTAAGTTGTACGGGAAAAGAAAAAGCAGAAAAAAATGAACTGTTGACGGATGATGCGGTAACGATCGCGAACGTTCTTGGAATTCTTGCGATTTTGCGGTAATCTTTCAGCAACTGAATCTTCACGCGTCGTAGAATCCGTTGATTGATGTTCCACTGGTGTCGGTGCTGGCACATTCGGCTCTCTGCGATCCTAAACAAAAATTGGGTGAGTAAAAACTTTCAGGAATGACCTTTCTACTACAGAAGTACTGTTTCAAAAATTAAAGTGTAATAAAATTCTCAATTATTCCTGATTAGATTGAATCCGAAGTACTCGACCTACTTACTTACCTTCACTCACTAATTCCTAACACTTCTACTATATTTTAAATAATTCCACATTTTACTTTATCTACTGCCCCCACTTACTAACTCCCTTTGCCCACCTTTTCCTTCCATTAATTTACCCTTTATAAATCCCTTCCGAAAACCTTTGGGATCAGAGTCTCGGGCCCAAAGCGTGCTACGTTTTGATACGATTAACGCTACTAACTGGCCGTCTCGATACGATTAACCCTTCTCCCTCCGCTGGACAGTTTGTGCGACACCTCTGTTTCCCCAGCTTTTATTAGTAAATAAAGCACTGACACTCTTCACTGTCTTCCGCTGCTGCAGTCAAAGACCAAGCTACCACGCGAGAACCTAACACTTGGATAGCTAATAAAAGCTAACACTACGATATCTCGATATTTCTGCCTTGGCTCTGTGTCTTCAGTGGTATGTAGCTTTAATGGTATGTAGTCAGATCCATATTAAGACATTTTGACCTAAACCCTACTCACATCAAATGTTAAAATCAATGCAATGATATTATCCGAGTCAAAAACGCTGGTAATTTGTAATTTTTTTTTTTTTTTTGGCCTATATCAACCGAATCCTTTTCGTAATCTAATTAAACCCTTGGTACAGTTGGTTACATCTTAATAATAAGTGGCTAGCTACACGCGCAATAGAATCCCTCAGATTGTTGAGTGCTTAGGACCGTAATAATGCACCCCCCTCCCCTCCCCCCCAATGGCCGATAAAATCTTCGTTTTAAACTGTCCGCTGGGAACAGTTTTTTTTTAATCCATTATAAAAGTAGAGCAGTACCATACTGGCAATTGCGTACAGCCAAGTTTAAAACAAACAAATAATAACAGTATAAAAAAACACCATATAAATAATCGCAATTTCCATATCGTGCTTTTTTCTTCAAATTTTTATAATCTTATGTCCAAATGGGGTTTTTTTTATAGGAAATTCAAACTTAAAGACTTACCTTTCCTGCATCTCGTTCCGGTCTATTTTGTTCGCGCAAATTCGAAGAACTTGTTGCAGCTGGTGATATGCGTACAGGTTCATTTCTTGCTTCGTTTTCTGGCGCAGGAGCACTGTTTTCCTAAAATATTCGCAAAATTACCCCTTACTTCTATGTTCAAAAGACGTAGTGATGGCCTACTTCCACAGGGATAGATAGCGCATGAGTCCAACTCACAGCCAGTTCGCAACCTCACAAGTCAAAAATCAAAACTCCCTCTGTAGGCAGATGTTCTTAACTAAAAAAATATATTGTTACCAAAAAATATATTGTTACCGTACTGACGAGGTCCAACTG